AAAGAACCTCTAGACCAAGTGGCCCGATGGAAAGAACAACTCCAAGAGTACACCTTTGATTGTCAGTACCTTCGCGGAAAAACACATGGAAATGCCGACGCGACGTCACGATTGCCGTCAGAAACTGCCCCAACAATTACTGCTTGCCAGTTGGCAATCAATACCCAGCAATGACCCACCTTGCAGGAACAAGACCCGGACATTCAGTTAATATACCGCCGTCAAAAGTAGGGTGCACCCAAACCGACCGGGGGCGAAATGAGTGGCCAGTCCGTTGCTGCCAAGTGCCTGTGGAACATGTGGTCAAAAATACTGTTCATTGACGGGATCCTATATCTTCGCTCCATGGACGCCGAAAAACCAAGGATAGTAGTACCACGATCGTTGATTACAGAAGTCGTCAGCCGTGTCCACCTGGATCTCGGTCACGCCGGTCAGCGAAAACCCGAGACAGCAGTTCGACAGAGATATTGGTGGCCTTTAATCGATCACGATGTTAACATATTTTGCCGGCACTGTGCTACTTGCCAGCTAATCAAAGGATTGAATCCAACACCAAAAGCACCTCTGTGGCCAATCTCGATAGTAGGTCCAAATTACCGAGTGGGGGTCGACCTTGTGGGACCACTTCCAATGACCAAGAAGGGAAACCGGCACATTTTGATAATGGTGGACTACTTCACTAAGTGGTGTGAGGCCGTGCCACTGCCACAGACTAACGCCGTCACCATCGCTCGAACGTCTGTCAATGAATGGACATGTTGGTTCGGTGCCCCACAGTTTTTTCATTCTGATCAAGGCTCCCCATTCGTAACCACATCTGACATGCCGTTCACCGCCCACTTCGCATTGAGAAAACTCGAACGACCGCCTACCACCCTCATGGCAACGTCCTGGTCGAAAGGACCAACCTCACTCTGAAGAACATTTTGCAAGCCATCATCGTGCGAGATCATTCGGACGAATGGGACCAGTATCTAGGACCAGCGTTGTTAGCCTACCGTGCTTGGGTCCATTTATCTACAAGACACTTTCCAGCTCTTGTCCGCCTCAGAAGCGAGCTCCGCCTACCCAAGGAGACGCAGTCGCTACTAGCACTAGCTGAAATTATTGACATGCACGATTTCGTCCGCGGGCTTCAGCAGCGCCTTTCGGCGGCTTTACGCAACGCCCACAAAACTATTCAATCCGAACAACAGTACCAAAAATCGGCTTACGATCGAGGAACCCAGGGCCCGAGGTACGCTTGAGGAGATCTAGCGTTTTTTTATCGGCCAGGCTCCGCACCAGGTACATCCCAGAATTTCCATCAACCATGGCAGGGACCGTATATTGTCGTTCACCAGCGCTCACCCAACGTTTATATGCTACGCGATCCACAACGGCCGCAATTAGATGTACTCACCGTTCACTACAACCAACTGAAGCCATACCGCGCCGCACGACTAACAGAAAGCATATCCCCACCTTCTGTAGCTGTCGATCAACCACCGGCGCTGTACATGGAAGTACAAGCTGAAGGCGGCGTGATCACACAGCTTACACCACCAGCTGACACTGAGGACAGTGTCCTTCCTGAAAGAGAGGATAGTTGTTACGGCATTGAAACTGAAATGGTCGGGCATGTGTTCAGTACTAATAATTGTCTTACGTTCCCTGTCCCTTTCAGGCGCACAATGGTTGAATACGGTGAACACTAACAACGAACAA